TTTTTTCCCCTCTGTTTTGTTTTGTTTCCTCTTTCTTGTGGGTCCTCCTATTGGTTGTAATTCTTTACAACATGACTAATGTGAAAATATGTTTAATAGGAATGTATGTGTAGAACCTATATCAGATTGCACGCCATCTTGGGGAGGGAGATGGGAAGAGAAAGGGAGAAAAATGTAAAACTCAGAAGCATATGGAGGTGATTGTTGAAAACCAAAAATAAATTAATAAAATATTTCTAGAAGAAGAAGAAGAGATGATGATGATGATGATGTGATGATGATGATGATGATTGCTGAAAGACCAAGATCTCTTGGACAGCAGATGTGGCAGGGGAAGCAAAAGGAGGCATGAGCTCCAGCAACCTGCAGGAAACCTGCAGGTGCCCTAAGCAGAGATTTGTCAGGAGGCCTGAACCTACATAAAGCCAGGGCCTTCTGATCTCAAAGGGCCTGAAACATATAGGTGGGGACATGGAAGATACTGCTTTTAAGGGAGTACACACCAAAAAAGGTAGAAACCAACTAAAGCTCTGGCAACTCTGGCCTGAAGTCAGTGGTATCTTGGCCCTGGCCTGACAAGAGTACCATCAGGAAATAGAATGATCCCCTGTAGGTCACTGTGCAGGGAGGCATGGAGCCAGGATCATAAGCCTGGTTGTTGTCCTTTGTGATTATTGTCCTTTATGCTTGAAGAGGACCAAAATGGCATCACTATGTCAGGGTCAAGGCACAATTTGTCCAATTCTGACTGATCAGACCAATGTGAGCTCACAATTTTTTCGGTGAAGTATGAGGCAATGTTCACCTCAAACTTACCAAATTGGGGAAGATGATAAAAAACATAAATGACAGTTGTTGGAGAGACTATAGGAAGATAGGCATACTAATGTAGTATTGGTGGAGCAGTGAACTGATTCAACCATTCCAAAAGGTAATTTGGAAATGTACCCCAAAAGTTACTAAATATATGTATTATTTGTTGATCCATCAACCCCATTACTAGTCACATAACTCAAAGAGATCAAAGACAAAAATGATCCATTCATACAAAAGACAATACTTTTGTTGTAACAAAGAAAAGGAAAGAAAGAGGAATTAATTGCTCATTGATTGGAAAATGGCTTTACAAATTATGGTATATTAATACAGTAGAATAATACCATAAAAATGATAGATATAGTTTCAGAAAAACCTGAGATTTGTATGAACTGATACAAAGTGAAATGACACAACTAGACCAATTTAGACAATGACTATAACACTATAAAGGAAAATAATTTTTTTTCTTATTTATTTTTAGTTTTCAACATTCATTTCCACAAGATTTTCAGTACCAAAATTTCTCCCCATCCCATGATGGGCATCCAATGATGGCCTGCATTGATCCCCCCTTCACTCAATCTGTTTTCCCTTCTATTACCGCCCCTTCCCCCTTCTCTTATCCTCTTCCCCTTCTATTTTCCTGTAGGGTCAGATAGAGTTCTATACTCCTTTGCCTGTGTTTCTTATTTCCCAGTTGCATGTAAAAACAATTTCTAACATTCATTTCTAAAACTTTGAGTTCCAAATCCTCTCCCCTCTTCCCTCCGCACCCACCCTCATTGAGAAGGCAAGCAATTCTACATAGGCTATACATGCTCAGTCATGCAAAACACTTCCATAATAGTCATGTTGTTAGAGTAACTATATTTCCCCCCATCGTATCCTGGCCCCTATTTATTCTATTCTCTTCTTTGATCTATCCCTCCTCAAAAATGTTTGCTTCTGACTGACCCCTCCCCCAATCTGCCCTCCCTTCTATCACCCCTCCCTCTCTTATCCCCTTCCCCTCTAATTTTCTGTAGGGTAACATAAATTTCCATACACAATTGGGTGTGTATGTTATTCCTTCCTTAAGCCAAATCCAATGACAGTCAAGTTCAGTCATTCCTTCTCACCTCCCCCCTCTTCTCCTCCACTGTAAAAGCTTTTTCTTGCCTCTTTTATGTGAGATAATTTAGTCATCCTACCTCTCTTTCTCCTTCTCCTAGTACACTCCTATCTCACCTTTTTTTTTTAGATGTCATGTCTTCATATTCAGCTCACCTTGTGCCATCTGTCTATGTATATTCCCTCCAACTACCCTAATACTGAGAAAGGTCTCATGAGTTACAAATATCATCTTTCCATGTAGGAATGTAAACACTTCAACTTTAATAAGTTCCTTATGATTTCTCTTTCCTGTTTACCTTTTCATGCTTCTCTTGAGTCTTGTATTTGAAAGTCAATTTTTCTATTTAGCTCTGGCTTCTCAAGAATGCATTAAATTCTTCTAAGTCATTAAATATCATTTTTTCCCCTCATTGATTACACTCAGTTTTGCTCAGTAGGTGATTCTTGGTTTTAATCCTAGCTCCTCTGACCTTTGGAATATCATATTCCAAGCCCTCTGATCCCTTAATGTAGAAGCTGCTCAATCTTGTCTTAGCCTGATTGTGTTTCCACAATACTTAAATTGTTTCTTTCTGGCTGCTTGCAATATTTTCTCCTTGACCTGGGAACTCTGGAATTTGGCTATAATATTCCTGGGAGTTTTCTTTTTGGGATCTCTTTCAGGAGGTGATTGGTAGATTGTTTCCATTTTTATTTTACCCTTTGATTCCAGAATATCAGGGCAGTTTTCCCTGATAATTTCTTGAAAGATGATGTCTAGGCTCTTTCTTTGATCATGGCTTTCAAGTAGTCCAATAATTTTTAAGTTATCTCTCCTGGATCTATTTTCCAAGTCAGTTGTTTTTCCAATAAGATTTTCATATTGTCTTCTATTTTTTCATTCTTTTGGTTTTGTTTTATAATTTCTTGATTTCTTATAGAGTCACTAGCTTTCATTTACTCCATTCTAATTTTTAAGGAAGCATTTTCTTCCATAAGCTTTTGGAGTTCCTTTTCCATTTGGCCAATTTTGCTTTTTAAGGCATTCTTCTCCTCATTGGCTTTTTGGACCTCTTTTGCCATTTGGTCTAGTCTTTTTTTAAGGTGTTATTTTCTTCAGCATTTTTTTGAGTCTCCTTTAGCAAGCTGTTGACTCATTTTTCATAATTTTCTTGCATCACTCTCATTTCTCTTCCCACCCATCCCTGGGAGGCAGTCCTGGGGTGAGGAAGAGACTGACAAAGCAGAGCTTGTGGCAACAGTGGAGAGGGAATCCTCTCACTTCCAGAGCAGAAAAGAGTTCTTGCGGTTACTCATGGACCACAGCACAGGCTAGGAGAGGAGTAAACATCTTAGATCGAACCACCTTGGAAGAACTGAAGTCATAGGTCCCTAGAAGTATCTCTGAAAACAGATGCACAAAACCCCTGAAGCTTGGGACAGTACACCCTTTACACTGGAAGCAGAGCCTGCCTTAACAAAGAGTTAAAAAGTCAAGTGACTGGCTGGGAAGATTAGCAAACAGAGGTAAAAACTCAGATCATATAATCTTACTTTGGTGACAAGGAAGAACAAGACATACAACTAGAGAAAGACAAAAAATTCAGGGCTCCTACATCCAAAGCTCCCAAGAAAAATATGAATTGGTCTCAAGCCATGGAAGAGCTCAAAAAGGATTCTGAAAATCCCCCAAAAAAGCCACTACTCCAGGTTAGCCCCTTCTGACTTTTCACCTGCAAGTCTTCTATTCTTCCCCACTCTAATCTACTCCCCACTAAGCTGCAGGTGAATTTCCTAAAATACATTCCCTACTCAATAAACTTATCGCTGCCTACGTTAAGATCAAATAGTTTCATCATCTCATTTGTTCACACAATTATTATAATGGTATATGTATATAATTTTTAAGCAAACATATGCATATCAAGGATACATGCTCAAAAATTTTACATTTCGCTGGACTAGTGGCATAGAATAAAATGTCAATTTTCAGACTTTGGCCAAGGTACATATTTGTTTTGCTTCATTAAACTTATTTGTTAAGAGAGGGGTTTTTGGGGGGGCAAGGAAGGGTGTTTCAGAGATAATATGGGGAAGGCTGGTGATAATGATGTGAAAGGTTGTCAATAAAACATACACAAAAGCAAGAAATTCAGAAGGTAAAGAGATAAGCAAGACAGTGTTGATACAACCCAAAACTGTATTAATAGTCACAGATTGACATAGAATCTTTTTTTTAAATGCGAAAACTCATGTTTGTCAAGTTTTACATCATTTTTAAAACAAGTGTCAAATCATGACTTCAGAAGATTGATGGTGAAGCATGCCTCTGATAAAAAGAGAGATACAGAATAAGGTATATATACAGATATACCCAATGTATTGATTTGTTTTGCTAGACTATACTGGCAAAAACAGGTGCCAACTGAAGCAGGGTAGAAGAATTAGTGGGAAAAGACAATGTTGTGAAAAAAGGAAAAGAGCATCAATGAAATATTTTTTAAAAAGAACTAAGAGTCAAATGCTACGTAATTTAGGAACAAGAAAAATGCTCAAAATTTTTTTCAAATGCAAATTTTACTACAGTAATTTAACCACATATAATTTAAAAACTGGAAAACTTAGAAAACTTGAACTGAAAAGTTTGTGAGTGAAAAAATAACTTCACAGTTTTCAAGTTCTTTGCGAGTGTTGTACTTTATTTAACAGAACTGTTAATACCTATTGTTTTGTTTATTCTGTAACAAAATGTACTATCTACACAAGAGGCTGCACTATACTTGAGCAGTCCATACAAATGCTTTTATCCCACTACACTGTGCTGTGAATGACCTCCTACTTGTTTTGATAGCACAATAATTTATCTTTGCAAAGAATCACCCATGAATATAACTATACATAGAAATAAATTAGCTGGTATTTTACATGTACATTGTTACTACTGAACTTTTTTTCAGCTAAGTAGGAAGAAAGGAAGCTTAAATAATCTCATTGTAAATTGCTTTTGTGTTACTGATGCATTAGTTAATTGTACTGACTGGTCTTTTAATTGTCAATTTTTAACTCTGGGATGGAAAACAAAAACCAAATGGAAGTTTAACACACTTTATTTTTTTAGCAAAGCCCCAGAAAACATATTCAGTTATATATATTTTTTCAAACCACAGTGGCAAAGTAGTTACACTTTCTAAAACAACTCAGGTTCAAAGCTGATCCATGGTGGAAAGACATACTTCCAAATTCAAAGTATGAAAATAAGTGCTTTTCAGTCAAGGGCTAAAAGTCTATTATAACCTAAATTCTCTCAACCAGGTAGTACTTAAAATTTCAGAAAAGGAATTTGTTCATTTCTAAAGACAATTTGATCACAGTATCTTTTATTTTATATGGACAGAATTCACAAGCATGAAAGAGATATCTCATTCTTCGATAATCCTTCAATTCTGTTTATTTTTCTTGTCTTTTTGCAATTTAATAAACCATTCAAAAAAGTAAATGTATATACAGGAATGCAGAATGCCTATGAATGCAGGCTACTATCATTAAGAAAAGAAATTCAAGTACAAAAGGCAATTCCTGAATTGTTAACACTTATCAAGTTAATTTTCTATTTCCCTATGGTTCAAATACCACAGTTTTAAGAAATTCAACCTAAGGGTAGATAAATTAGAATTTATACCACCTTAAGATTTGGGTTGCAGCAGTACAAAATTAAAATAATTTTATTATTTCCCGAAATACTATATCATGTAGCTTACTATACTTTTAAATGGCAAAAAATTAAATAGATATAAGTATAATTAATCATAAATACACTTTTTACACTTATCTGAGCAGCTTCTTTGAACCTTGAAATGTTGGATGATAGACATAAAACTTCAATAAATAATTCAAAACGAAAGGTCTTTAAGACTTCCAAAGCAGCTGAAGCTAATGACCCTTAATCAGCAACATCAGTACATGATTAAGGACAACTGATATAAAAGGGTAGGCTTTCAAAAGGTAATCCAAACCCTCAAAGTAATTAAATTAAATTTAAAAATTACTTTTCTGTGGAGGAAATGAGCTATGTTAGAGCTTCTCTTTAAAGATTTAAAAAGCCAAATCAAAGTGACCCATCAAACTGAAATACACCAAATTTTCCACTGGTCCTCCACTGAGGATCAATACCTGCAACATGTCGCCCTTGCCCATGTGCCAGCCCTACCAGAGCTTCAGTTTTTACTGTTCTTATGCTACAGAGAGGTGCAGGATGGAAGCCATTCAAAGCCTGATGAAATGGAACTGTAAGCTTCCATTTTCTGTCTCCTACTAACTTCCTATAGTTCAAATCACCCTTGAAAAGAATTAAATTCGATTTCTGTAGTTCAGCATACAAGTCAGGAGAAACTTGAGACATAGTACAATATTCATGAGGTAGAGTCCAAAACATATGATCTTGGTAAATCCATGTATGTTTAAGATAGTGCTCCCAGTTAATCCCACAATCAGACATACATTTGGTATTAGCAGCTTTTAATTGTTCAATCACCCAATCCATGTCCTTTTTAATAGTATTTGAAACAAACCAGGGAATACTTTTTCCATGGAAGTGGATCTCAGTAGCCAATTTAGATGCTAACAGGAAGTCTGCCATTACCAAATCTGCAACAAGTTCAAACCCTGCATTATCCATGATAAAATCCACTCTAGTAACAGGAAATGTCTCCTGCCTCATTTTCTTTCTGTTTATAAGTAGTGACCAAACGTGGTCCATATTATCCACTAAAATGAAAAGCTGCAGGTCTTCCAAAGTGACTACTGGACTAGATGTCTCAGGGATACTCTCATCAGGTGAAAGTGCCAGATCACACTTATTTCCCCATAATACAATCTGAAAGAAAGTACAAAATAAACATTGTTCATTATCTATAAACAACTGAAATACTTCAAAGGCTACATCTTTAGTGGCAAAAGTCATATGCAATTTCCATTTAAAACTGTTTCCCTTTACAACTCACAGGTGATATTAAATAAGCTTTACGTGAAAAATCACTTCGCTATCCCATAGATAATATTTCAGTGTGATGGAATTTTTTACTTTTGAATAAATCATTTTTAAGTGACTCAAAAGGGAAAAAAAATCCATGTAACAAAAGTGAAGGATAAAAAAACAAGCCCAAGTACAACAAGAGTATGGATAAAATATACAAAAGGATAAGAAAAGGGGTAGAAGCCTGTTCTACAGAGGAGTTATGGGAAGATAAGAGTATGAATTACATGTGATAACAATATATAGCTAGGTTATAATCTGCACTGATGGAAAAATACCCATGCTGAGATCACAGATCCACTGAAGAAACTGTGTATCTACATACATATTTACATATATATACATGCACATTAATCTGAGAAGGTAGAAACAGAAAATGAACTCCATGATAAATGTAAAATGTATTCTTCCAAGACTGATAATCTTTTTTTTAATATATATTTTATTCCCCCTCCCCAAATACATGTTAAAACAATTGGGGGGGGGAGAAGAGAGGGGCAAGGCAATGAGCATTAAGTGACTTGCCCAGGGTCACACAGCTAATAAGCATCAAATGTCTGAGGTGGGATTTGAATTCAGGTCCTCCTGACTCCAGGGCCACTACTCTATCCACTGCACCACCTAACTGCCCCTACAATAATTTTTTTTTAATATTTGTTTTTCTTATAAAGTTTTGAGTTCCATATTCTATCTCTTCCTCCCATCTCTTTCCACTCTCCCCCCAAGACAGTAAGCAATCAGATATAGGTTACACACGCACAATCATGTAAAACATTTCCATCTTGGTCATTTTGTACAAGACTCAAATAAAAGAAAAAGAATGAAAGTAGAAAATTGCATGCTTCAATCTGTATTCAAACATCAGTTCTTTCTCTATAGATGGCTAGTACACTTCAATCATTAGTCCTCTGGGATTGTCTTGGATCACTGTATTACTGAGAATAGCTAAGTTATTCACAGTTCTTCACTGAACAATATTGCTGTTACGATGTACAATGTTCTCCTGGTTCTGTTCGCTTCACTTTGCATCAGTCCATGTAAGTCTTTCCAGGTTTTTCTGAAATCATCCTGCTTGTCATTTCTTATAGCACAATAATATTCCATCACTATTATATACCCCAGCTTGTTTAGCCATTCCCCAACTGATGAGCATCCCTTCAATTTCCAATTGTTAGCCACCACAAAAAGAGCTGCTATAAATATTTTTGTACAAGTAGATCCTTTTCCCTTTTTTGGATGCAAGACTGATATTCTTAAGTCAATGCCTACAAAATTCATTTATCAATATTAGACAGTACCTCAAAATATTTCCTATTGTCATCTTGAACTGTTACTTTAATCTCTTATTTACTTTTCATGTGCTAATGTCTTTTTTCCCAAACTAGATTATGAGCTCCTTAACATAAGGACTGAGATAAGTCCAATATATTGAGATATAAGACTGAGATAAGTCCAACAGTTCAGTGTATCTCCTCAGAATGTCTACTTCAATGTCTTGGACAAGGAAAATACTCAATAAATTGTGACTTGAAAAAGCCCTCTGCTTCATATTCATGTCTTTTATATTTTGCCTCCAATTATCTGGTTTCTCCTTCAAATATTCTGAGCTTTCAATTTTTTGATTCCTTGACCCCTAAACCCATTCTCTAATCAGATGGACCAGAACATAGTTCCAAGAAGTTCTCAAAATAACAATACTAATAATATTTAAGAGTGTTTTAAGTGAGAAAAAGGAAGAAGATAAGCAAAGAAATATAAAAAAGGTATAGTGCTTCGCAGAGTCAAGTAAACATCTAATGAGTTGGCTGACTGCTCAAGATTTACTTATATTTAAAGTAATAAGGCAGATAGTTTCCTGTGCTACTAGAAAGGATCTCTAGCTAAATGAAAAAAAAAAACCTAAGTTGACCTAAAAATTCATTTCCAAGCAATAAAATGAATTTTATTCCTTGAATAATGTCATTATAAAAAAAAATACACCACAAATATGTAAGATTAGCCTTAAATGACTTGGCAAATTTAAAGAAATATATGTAAAAAATCATTAATTTTTTATAAATATAGTATTACACACACACACACACACACACACACACACAAAGACAAAAAGACAGAGAGAGAGAGAGAGAAGAGAGAATATTTTAACATATACCTGCAAGAGTTTAAAAAACTCATCTTTCAGTTGATTTTCATCTAGGTTTTCAATCCTTTTTTTTAACTCTTGTAGGTAATTACATAAAGACTTAATAGCTTCCAGTGATTCAAAGAAATTCTGGTCTTTTGATTCTTTAAATACATCAAAGTAACTTATTGGTGAACTAAAATGAGACAAAAGAAACAGAAGACGTAAAAATAATCATGATGCTATATTTTAAATAGTTATTAATATCTAACAATTAAACAGTCAAATCTCAAACTGTGGCAAAGGCTGAGAGGCATAAAGATTCTTGAAAACTGAAATCTTCTATTGTCCTAAAAACTTACTTTGACAAATCAGAGCCCTTTCCCAATATACAATATTTTACAAGATTGACTAATTTGGTGTTTTCTCCTGTTTGGCAAGTTCTCCTTCTGATGAAAACTTCAAAAGTCAGGAAGCAAAAGGGAGTAGGAAAAGCTACTGTCTTAAGAAAATAACAATCATTTATACAGCACTTTAAATATGTTCTCCCATTTATCCTAACAATAACCCTGTGAAGTAGGTGTCATTATTATCCCCATTTGAAAAATGAGGAAACTTAAGCAGAAAGACTTGCCCAAGGTCAGAAAACTAATAAGTCATCCAGCGGGGATTCAAATTTAGGTTCTCCTGAGTCCAAATGCTGCACTCTCTCTACTTGGCCAATAGATGCCTTCCTTATACAGCCAAACTTTGATTATCTATATGCAGGTTATCTTTGGAAAATTTTAAATTCCCATCTCCTCATCTTCATACTTGATATCAATTATTTTCCTGGGCTATCTCATTCTGTTGCCTGGCCAGTACATATTAAAAGAATACAGAGAAATAAAAATAATGTTAACCAAAGAAAACAAACAGGAAGCTAAATCTGAAGAAAAAACATGATGACACATTTCAAAGTCATGTACAAAAGATTTGGTGGTTATCTTCTATTCCATATCCATATCCCCACCCTTTATATTCACATGAAAAATTTAAAGTTTATGGTGTATAAGTTGTGACAAGGAAGTAACATCAATGATTTTAAAAACACACCTACCAGAATTTGTACATCCAAATGAGTATTTTCCCCTTCAAAGGAGTCAAATTAGGAGAAACTATACTTATTCCAATGATTTATGATTGCTCAAAATATGTTTTGGGCTTCCTCTTTTGGTACTTTCTTCAGAGCCCATGACATAGTCTTTTGAGTATTTTCAATGGTGGCAAATCTTTATCATTTGATGGTAATTTAATTTTTGGAAATAGTCAAAGTCCTTTGAAGCCAAGTCTAGTAAATAAGGTGGGTTGGGTCAAACTAAGTAATACCATCTTGACTCAAAAATGAGGGTATGACCATAAGATAGGGAGAGTTTTCTTACATGGCTCATAAGCTGTTCTGAAGGCAATTCCAAAAAACAAATTTCACAGTGCCTTTCGTGATGATAGTATGATTGGAATAAGTATATTAATTCCCAATGTGACTTTGAAGAAAAACATCCATTTGCACATTTAACTTGTACTCTATTCATTTAAAAATCAGCCTCCTTAGTTTATGGTCACACCTCATATTAAGAATAAGCTTGAGTTTCATTATTTTTATACAAAAATGAATAAATTAATAACCATTATAATTCCTATATAACTCAGAATAATTTCACTCTGTCACTCTTCAATGTCTGAAAAGCACAATTCTTATACCAAATGTCACAAATGAAGAAATGTTCAATTCTTACTTCTGACTTACAGATAAGTAACTATTACATAATTAATGTTGGGCCATTAGGACCTGCAGAAAATATTAAAAAGACAATGCTTTTACCCTCTGAATGATTGTGAGCCAAAATATAAACAAGCCTACTCTAAGACTCCTAACCTCCTACATACATCTTCACTAACTATACTGTTTCCAAAGAAAGAGTTCCTTTGGAATTTATACCCCTAACCATCACAGAAGGGCATTCAATGCCATAGGCTATATTATAGTTTCTTTCACAGTAAGGTTCATCATTAATAGCTTTGTGTTGCTAATGGAAATTACAGCAACTGCTATAAATTAATATTCAGTCTCCCTGATAACTGTCCCTGTGGCTCTTTCCTACACAATTTCTTAGCTTGAACCCAACTTGGAGAAAATAGAAACCAATGAGCCATTTGACAATATCTGTATAATTTGCCAAAACCCTATGCTGAAATATGAAGATAGGTCCTTTAGTTCCATTCCTTCAAAGAACTCTGAATCAATGACACAAGATTCCTTAATTTTTTTTACCTGTTCACTCAGCATTGTAGAATGTCATGTCAATTATAAACACATGGATCTAATTATATTATCATTTATAGAATAGTCTGATGAGTAACACTGTAAGCTAAAGAACTAATGAATTGTAACCAACAAAATTCAATGATGGAGGAGAAAGGGTAGACTCCATTCAACATCTACGTTCTTTGAAGTAAAAAGTACTTTAACAACAGAAAAAGAAGAAATTTAAACATCAAAGGCAGGAATTAGGATTAGGTGTATGGGGAAAAAAAAAAGTTGGGAGATCTGAGTGGCACTGAAATCAACAAGATAGCATAGTGGATAGTGTTGGGCTTGGAACCAGGAAGACCTGAGTTTAAATTCTACCTGTTTCCTCATCTGTAAAAATTAGTTACCTCATAGAGTTGTTATGAGAAGCAAATGAGATAACACATAAAGTAGTTTATAAACCTTAAAGTATTACATAAATGCTGTATTTGTTTACTTATTGTGGGCCTACTATGTGCAGCATACCATGCTTAGCAGTGGGGGAGACACAACATGTAAATAATTTACATTCTGTACTTTCAAGTAACTTATATTCTAGTAGAGGGATAATGCACCAACATAGCTAAAATAAACAATATGACGTAAGTACAATAGTTATGAAACAACATACAATGTTAATTAAGTATGAGGGTAGAGGAAATCAAAGCCAAGTTGCTCTTTACAAAATGGGGAGCAGGCAACATGGAGTAAGAAGGACATTCCAAACCACAGCAATAGCCTGAGGCAAAGGCACAGAAGAGAGCTCAGCAAGGTGTTCAGTTTGGCTACAGTGGCAGGTTGTGGGAAGGGCCATGAAGGGTAAGCAAAAGATTTTTATTGAGAAGGCAATAGCATTCACCAAAGACATGAGACCAAAGGAGTGATTAGCCAGAATCTCCATGAGACATTTTTCTGGGAACCCATATAAATGGATTAGAAGGATAAAAACAATGGAAGCAGAAGGAGGGTGTGAAACAGAATGCTGAGAATGAAAAATGTGAAAGATGTCAAGACTTTTAGCATTTTGTGGGGAGGCTGGCTGGATTTTAGACAGTACAATGAAAATGACCTAGTGATGTATTGGTCTGATGTTTTCTTTTATGAAATGAATGCTGAGATGTTACCTATTTCTTACTGTTAGAAAATTTACTGTTTTATTTTTATACTTTTTATTAAAGGTCAGATTGTGTCTATATACTAAGTCTTGCAACAACCATTGGCCAAAATCTATGAATTTGGACTTCGTGGAAAAAATAAACTTTTAATATAAAATAAGCAAACTAATAAATTTTTAAAAGATTTTTAAAATGAAATGTCAGGCACAATCACAAAGAAGCATATATACTTCAGTGAAACCTAGCACAATTGCTAACATATTTATAATATAACTTTTAGGAAATGTGCATCTGAAAACTTTCTGAAACTCATTTTTGTTCCCACTAATACAATATAGCTAGCTAGCTTTCAGAGCTCTAAGCAGTTTTTAAAAGCATAAGAGATGAGGTTTGGGACTGGACCTGTGATTTCACTGCTATGGTGAAGAAATTCTTCTACCAGTGCAGGTCAGCACTTTCTCTGCAACTTACAAGTCTTAGAGATTTACTGAGAACACTGAGAAGTTAAGTTGCCCAGAGTCACACAGACAATACGTGTTAAGAGGCAGTATTTCAATTCAGGACTGCCTGGCTTTAAGGTTAGTTCTCTTTCTACTACAATACTCTACCTTTCAACAAAAAATATAGAATGTCTTAAAATACATTAAGTAACAGAATTTGACAAGATGTTAACTTACCTTAGCATTAATGCTTCATGAATTCTACGGTACATGTAACACTCTACATACAACCAAGGAGACTGAAACCAGCTTACTTTTTTATTGTTTTCATTTAAAAGACTATGGTGATACTCCAGGTATTGGTTCCAAACATCAGTATCAGCAGAGTTATCAGTCAAAGGCAAAAATGGCTTATCAGTTTGTAGTTCATTTCGTAACTTAGAAAGAAGAGAGATAGCTTTCTTTTCTGCTTCAGTGCCTTCCTGAAAAAGAGGATAAAAAGTACTTTCACAAATTGTATTCATCATAAATTATATTTTTAGGCATCTGAAGCTCAAAAAAACAAAACTGCTTTTCAAGTCTTGGATATTACAGATGCCAAAAGCTGTTTAGAATGAACCATGTTCCAATCTAGAAATCTAGAATTCCAAATCACTTCCTATCCTCGCAGGTCTCATATAAATGTATATAAATACATTTCAGGAAAACCCAATACCAGATGGTGGTAACCAATGGTGAATTGTGTATTTGGGATGAAACCCAGCCCCCCTGCCCCACCTCAAAATGATATATGTGAAAAATAAGATAAGAGAACAACCAAAGGAAATAAATCACTAGAAGATTAACAGAAAGATTGTATAAATAAGCAGAAAAGAGGACAAATCCAAGGGATACTATAGGATAAAAGAAGGCAAGGAGAAATCACTGTCAGAAAATAAAAACTACATTATCAGCAACTACACTCCTAGAAGAGAGGATGAAAATATGGTAGAAACTTCCAGAGAGATTCAGAATAATAGCTTACATTTATATTGGATTTTATATAGAACTTTAAAAATCTACAAAGCATTTTACATAAATTATTTCATTTTGGCTTCAAAGCAACTTGATGAAGCAGGAAATGTGGGTATTATCCATATTCCACAGATGAGGAAAACATAGCTTAGAGTCATTAAGTGACTTGCCACAGACAGGATTTGAAGCTAGGTTCTCCTGACACCAAGGCCAACATTGTTCACTATGCTATGTTGTCTCCAAGGGATATAAAGAAAGATCTGGTAGGTCTAAGACTCTAAGTTATGTTACTAAAGGAAGATTTCAAGAACATGAAAATAAGAATTGATAATGTTGAAAGAACAGTGAAGTTCTCAAAGAAGTTATTGATTCTCTGAGGAGCAGAGTGGTTCAAACAGAACAAAAAATGCAGAGACAGAATAAGAACAAAAAAGTTTTAATGGTAAAACTAGGGAAAGACCTTTATAAACCAAAACAACAGAAGTACAGTACAGAGCTTAGCAAGAAAATCAAAGGATTATTGTTCTCCCACAAAAATAAAACAAAAAACACAAAGAAACAAAGAATCAGAGTATTACATTCTAGGAAATCACCAAAGAATTAACACAGAAGTAGCAGAAACATAAGGCAGGGCACACACTGAGGGAGCCTTCAGGGGGGAAAAAAAGTATAGAACTCTAAATTAACTAACTCAGAAATGAAGCTAATGAATTCTAGAGCCACCATGTCAAAGACGGAATTCATAAATATCCATGAAGAGGCAATTTACGTTATCAGAAAAAACAAATTTAAATTTTGAAAGACTATTCAATAAGAAAAAGGAATAACAGGCCAAAATGGAATATACTAAGAAAGGCCAGGGAAACTAGCCCAAGCCTCAAAATTGTCTGTGCATCAAAAAAAAGCATGCTCTGTTATGAAAAAAGATGGGTCATCCATAAAACTTTTTAAAAATTTTTCTTACTGATGAGAAATATCGAACTGGAGGAATGCATCTGACATATAACCTGACCAAGTAACTGAAACTTACAGGTAAACTAGAACTATATGCAAGTAAAGAATAAAGGATGACTAAATGCTAACCTGCTTTAAAATTATGTTAAGTTTCAGGCGAAGAGTCAACATGGTGGAGTAAAGGCAGGGACTTGCCTGAGCTCTCCCAAATTCCTTCCAAACAACTTTAAAATAATGCCTCAAAAGGAATTCTAGAGCAGGAACCAAAAAAAGGACACAGTTAAAATAATTTTTTAGCCTAAGACAACTCAGGTCAGTGAGAAAGGTCTGTCTCACTGGGGTGAAAGTGTAACACAGTCCACTGCAAGCTATGCCCTGGGCAAGCCAGCAGCAGGCCTTGAGGACAACTGAATCAGCAGAGGCTTCCAGAGCTCTCAGGCCATAGATGGTAAGAAGGTCAGACAACTGGTCAGAAGATTACAGGGGATCTGTTGGCACTGGGTGCAGGACTCTGCTGCACTTCCCATACTCAGTACTAGCTCACAGTCCCAGGGCAAGGAGGAAAACTAATGTACTAGAGAACATGGCCAGGGATCTTGGTCATAGTTCCAGGGTGGAAAAGTATACTTGTGGCTGCTCACAGGCCAGGAAAGCAGTGACCACACCTCTCCTTAGATCACTTCACTCGGAAAGAACTGAAAACTTACAGTATCATGAAACTAGCTCTCAAAACAACAGAAAAACCTGAAGCTTAGCACAGTGCCCCCTCCACCACAGGGAGCTCAACTTTAATATAAAGTTAAAATTCAAGAAAGAGGCTGGGAAAATGAGCAAATAACCAAAAAAATGAGCTTAACCAAGAAAGTTACTATGGTGACAGGGAAGATCAAAACACAGTCTCAGAAGAAGACAATAAAATTACAACTGCTACATCCAAAGACTCAAAGAAAAATATGAATTGGTCTCAGGCCCAAAAAGAATTCTTGGAAGCACTCAGAAAAGGTTTTAAAAACCAAACAGAGAGGGAAAATTGGGAAAAGAAATGATAGTGATGCCAGAAAATCATGAAAAAAAAAAGTCAACAGCTTGGTAAAGAAAGCACAAAAAGAGAAAAGAACACCTTAAAAAACAAAACAGGCCAATGGTAAAGAAAAAAAGGCACAAAAATCCAATGAAGAGAACTTCTCAAAAAAATAGAAATGGAACGGTACAGAATGGAAAAGGTACAGAAGCTCACTGAAGAAAATAATTCCTTAAAAATTAGAATTGGGCAAGTAGAAGCTATTGATTCCATAAGACATCAAGATACAATAAAATGAAGTCAAAAGAATGAAAAAAATAGAAGAAAATGTGAAGTACCTCACTGGAAAATCAACTAACCTAGAAAACAGATCGTGGAGAGATAATTTAAGAAGTACTGAATATTTGAAAGCCATAATCAAAAAAAGAGTCTAGATATCATCTTTCAAGAAATTATCAAGGAAAACTGCCATGATATACTAGAACCAGAGGCTGAAACAGAAACTGAAAGAATTCACCAATTACCTCCTGAAAGAGATCCCAAAATGAAAATTTCCAGGAATGTTATAGCCAAATTTCAGAGCTCCTAAGTCAAGGAGAAAATATTGCAAGCAACCAGAAAGAAACAATGGATGGATAGAGCACCAGTCCTGGAGTCAGGAGGACCTGAGTTCAAATCCGGTCTCAGACCAGACATTTGACACTTACTAGCTGTGTGACACTGAGCAAGTCACTTAACCCCAATTGCCTCGCAAAAAAAAAAGAAAAAGAAACAATTTAACCATCATGGAACTATAGTTAGGATAACACCAAGATTCAGCAGCTTCCACATTAAAGGATTAAAGAGTTTGGAATATAATATTCTAGAGAGCAAAGGATCAAAGATTTACAATAAGAAATCGCCTACCCAGAAAAAAATGAGTATGATCCTTCAAGGGAAAAATTAACATTTAATGAAATAAAGAATTCAAAGGATTTCAAGCATTCCTGATGAAAAGACCAGAGCTGAACAGACTCTGACTTTCAAATACGAGACTCAAGAGAAGCAGAGGAAAGAGAAATCACAAGTGATTCAAAAAGATTAAATCATTTACATTCCTACATGGCAAGATGATACTTCTAACTCCTAATAACTTTATCATTATTAGGGCAGTTGGGAGGAGTATACAAAGAGGGTGTGGGTAGACTATTATAGGATGATATCTAAAAAATTAAATTAAGGGGTGGAAAGGGGGATGACTATAATGTGATATCTAAAAAAATAAAATTAAAGAATGAGAAAGAAAGATGCACTGGGAAAAGGAGGAAGGGAGAGGCAGAAAGAGGTAACTTATCTTACATAAAAGAGGAGAGGTTGCGGGTGGTAGACAATGCTTGAACTTTACTCTCATCAGAATTGGCTCAAAGAGGTAATAACATGCACACTCAGTTGGGTTTAGAAATCTATCTTACCCTACAGGGAAGTAGGAGGGGAAAGAGATAAGAGAAGAAGGTGGTGATAGAAGGGAGGGTTGATTGGGAGAGGCAGTGGTCAGAATCAAAAAGCTTTTGAACAGGGACACAGTGAAAGGAAAGAGAGAAGGATAAACAGGGGGGGAAATAGGATGGAGGGAAATACACAGTAATCACAACTATGAAAAAAAAGTTTACAGCAAGTTTCTCTGATAAAGGCCTCATTTCTCAAATATATAGACAACTGAGTCAAATTTTCAAAATATGAGTCATTCTCCAATTGATCAATGGTCAAAGGATATGAACAGGAAGTTTTCAGTTGAAGAAATCAAAGCTATCTACAATCATATGAAAAAAGGCTCTAAATCACTATTCATTAGAAAAAAGTAAATTAAAAACAACTTCGAGGTACCAAGCACACTGATCAGATTGGCTAATATGACAGAAAAGAGAAACGATAAATGTTGGAGGGGATGTGGGGAAATTAGGACACTAATGCACAATCAGTGCGGCTGTAAATTGATCTAACCATTCTGGAGAGCAATTTGGACCCATGCCCAAAGGACTATAAAACTGTGCATACCCTTTGATCTAGCAATACCACTACTACGTCTGTATTCCAAAGAGATTAAAAAAAAGGAAAGAATCTACCTATATGTACAAAAATATTTATAGCAGCCTTTTCTGCAGTGGTAAAGAATTAGAATTTCAGGGGATGCCCATCAACTGGGGTGTGGCTGAACAAACTGTGACATATGATTGTAATGGAATAATTGTTCTATAAGAAATGATAGGGGCAGCTAGGTGGCACAGTGGAGAGAGCTCCAGCCTTGGAGTCAGGAGGACTAGAGTTCAAATCTGGCCTCCGACACTTGACATTTACTAGTTGTGTGATCCTGGGCAAGTCACTTAACCCTGATTGTCTCATCCCCCCCCCCAAAAAAATGATGAGCAGATTACAGAAAAACATGGACTTACATGAACTGATGCAAAGTGAAGTGAGCAGAACCAAGAGAACATTGCACACAGTAACAGCAATGTTGTACAATGATCAACTGCGAATGTCTTAGCTATTCTCAGCAATACAATGATCCAAGACAATTCCAAAGGATTTTTGATGGAAAATGCTATCCACCACCAGAGAAAGAACTGATGGTATCTGAATGCAGATCAACCATACTTATTTTAAACTTTATTTTTCTTGGGCTTTTTTGGGGGGGATTTGTTTCATTTTATAAGATAATTAATATGGAAACACATTTTGCATGACTGTACATGTATAAACTATACCAAATTGCTTGTCTTCTCAATGAGAGGAGAAAGAAGGGATGGAGAGAATTTGGAACTCAAAATTTTAAAAAATGAATGTTAAATGTTTTTATATGTACTTGGAAAAAAAAACAAAATATTCAAAATTAGGGTTAAAAAAAAGAGTGTGTTAAGCTTATCATATAGACTTTAAGCCACAACTAGTGGGGTTTTTTTTTAAGGTTAAGAACTAGAAAGAAGAATCTATAAAAAGGAGCTGAAAGAAACAGATCTGAAAGACTCAATGAGCAGGGGAGAAGTGAAATCTCTCTTGAAATTAGATACCAACAGAAAAGATGGTGGAGTAAGAGAAAGTACAGACCAGTTCCTCTTACAACCACACCAACAAAGATCTAAGAAGAGTATCAGACCAAGCAGTGGTTTGGAAATCTGAGGCGAAATCACAGTGGGTTGTATTTCTAGCTCAAGATCACAAGTTAGGCCTACCAGGAAATGACCAGAGTAGGAAATGTCTCACAATGCTACCACTGTAACCACTGAGCAAGAGACTGGAGGCAGTGACCTCCAGGGTCAAAACTGGGATAGGCCTACAGTGGCATTCTTGATACTCTGACCATGGGTAGGAGTAAAGATTCAGTTCAAGGCTCAGACCAGGATTACAGAAGAAAGGATCACGAGCTCACATCAGGATAAGCAGGCAGTGAGGTTGCTCTGACCCTACAGGCGCTTCTAGCTAGCTAACTAGAAAAGGAGGGGTAGGGTAGGCAGTGGCACAAAGGCAACATCAGCAGCCATTTCTTTAACCCCAAGAGGCAGGTCTGCAGCTGTATTGCTTAGAACCAAACCCAGGAAGGGAGCCAGGAAAAGTCCAGAAAGGCAGTGATTAGAGCATGTCTTAGGTCACACCAGATAGAGCACAATTAAAGTTGGCCATTCCCATACCAAGCTACCTCTGTAATACCTGAAAAAACACAGCATTCAATTTCCAGAAAAGGGGCATGTCCTCAGATAACAAAGAGAAGGGACAAACAAGGCCTTAACAGTCCTGTCAGAAGTGCACAAAACCTGGCCTTAACCATATGTCCCAATTTGGGAAGTAAGGAAAAATGAATTAAAAAAGACTGCCACAATAAAGAGTTATTTTGGCATTATGGATAGTCAAGACCCAAACCCAGAAGGGAGTAACGCCAAAACACCAACAAGCACCACAAGATCAATTAGTATTCCTGGCAGCTGATGGTAGGTGGCCTGGAGTCAGGAAGACCTAAATTCAATATAGCCTCTGACACTTACTAGCTGTGTGACCCTAAGCAAGTCACTTAACCCTGTTTGCCTCATTTTCTTCACTTGTAAAATGAGCTGGAGAATAAACAGCAAACCACTCCTGTATCTTTGACTAGAAAATCCTAAATGAAGTCAAGAAGAGTCAGACATAACTGAAACAAGCAAACAATTCTTAGAAGAAATGAAGCAAGAGTTTAAAAATGATATAATGAATGAAATGAGAGTGCTAGAGAAAAGAAGTGGAAAAGAAATGATAACTTACGAGGAGAAGCTCCAAAAGAAAACTGATGGCTTAGCTAAAGGTTATAAAATCTTACCCAATTAATAGTCTCTTTGAAAATTAGAATGGGCCAAACATAAGTTAATGTCTCCATGAGACAAAATATTTTTAAAAGCATGAAAAAGATTGAAAAAGTTTAAAAGATTGAAAAAAATTTTTTTTAAGTAAGGTCCTTCCTAAAAAAACTGATATGGAAAACATTAAGGAGAGATAATTTAAGAATCCATGAAGGACATGAAAGGCATGACCAAAAAAAGAGCCAGATATTATATTTCAAGAAATCATAAAAGGAAACTGCCTAAACTATTAGAACAAGAAGGCAAAGTGAAAATAGAAAAAAATCCAGCAATCTCCTCCTGATAGAAACCTCGAAAACCAGGAAAAAAAAATACCATAACCAGTCAGAAAAAAACAAGTGTAAGCAGCAAGTAACAACAGTCAGGATTGTTCACATCACGACTTTCTTCCTTTGAAAACTACTGTACCTATCCTTTGATATATATTACTTAGGGAAAGGAAAATGATTTTGGCAAGCAATGTGTAGGATGGATTGGAGTGGGGAGAGACTCAAGCAGGAAAACCAATGAGGAGACTGTTTAAATATTCTAGGTGAGAGGTGATTAGAAATTGAACTAAGATGACAGCTGTGTAAGTGGAGAGAGGGGGTTGGATATGAGAGTTGTTGTTTAGGGGGGAAAAAAGCAAAATTTAGAAACTAAGAAGGCGTGTGGGGAGAGGAGTCCAGGATAATGCTAAGTTTACAAGTCTGAGACATCAGAAGCATGGTAGTGGCTTCGAGAGAAATAAGAAGTTTGGAAGAGGAAGTGTTTAAGGGGAAAGATGAGTTCAGGTTTTAGATATGTTGAGTTTAAGAGGTCTCTGAGACATCTAGTTTGAAATGGCAATTAGGGAAACAGGACTGAAGCTTGAAGAGAGACTAGGACTGGATTTTTAGATTTGGGAGTCATGCACATTGAGATGATAATTAAATTCATGGGAGCTGATGAAGTTACCAAGAATACTAAGGGAGAAGAGGACCCAGGACAAAACCATGGGAAACACTCATTACATAGTTACTATAACTATACCAATGGTACTATATAATAACTTATCAAATTAAACACTAGTAGTTTCTATGGGTAAAAAATTGCATTCAGGGTTTCAACTTAGGATTTTCAATGAGTACATCAGAGGGGGTAGGAAGATGATCTCCCAAGCATCTACTAGGTGTGTGATCCTGGAAAAGTCCTTAACCTCTCAGAGACTTTTCTCATATGAAAAATAAAGAGTGTTGAACTGGAGGCTCTAAGGTCCCTTCCAGTTCTAACTGTATCCTTAGTATATTTAGTGAATCATGAAAGCAGTTGGAGCCTCAGAAGAGAGACAATGGGAAACAAGAAGACATTAAAAGGAAGGTAGAAGGATGTTCCCAACAGTCAGAACTCAGGTCAATACTAAGAGTTATCATACAGCTAAATTATAGGAGAAATAGGCTTTTGTGGCACAATCTTAGAAACTAACCATCATTTGTAAGATTTCAATATAAACACATCAGTACCATATCCAACCGTTATTAAAATAGAAGACTGAAGTCAAAAGACTTATTTAGTAACTTTTACCAGGTTCCTGTTTAATGACTAATCAAAAGATAATTATTAAACATACAACCCTTACCTCTCCATGCTTCTCAAAGAACTCACTTTTATGTCGATGCAATGCATCGATAGCCTTAGTTAGGATCGGTGGTGTTTGGTCTTTAATTCTAAGATACTGAAAAGATCTAAAAGAGAGAGAGGTAATACATACTAGTATGTTATTTAGTGATAATAAAGTATTAACAATAATAGATCTGGTATCCCTTCATTTACTAAATAATCTCCTCTTCACAACTACTTTTCACATATTTGCCATCTCATAAGTATGTCAATGTATACTATTTTGAGATACAGTGGTGAAATGTAAGACCTATACTGGAATGCTATTCAATTTATTCCGGTAAACATTTATTAAATGTCCCTGCTTTAAGAGTTGAGAATCTAGACATAGGTTCCCAAAGTGGGCAATACCTCCTCCTAGGAAGCGCTGTAATGGTGAGAGGCGGTGCACAGTAGTAGACTTGGGTGCAACTTCGGGGGGGGGTGTTTGAATAAAAATAAGGGGGCACTGGAAGCATAAAGAAAGAGAAGAAAATTTTGGAAAACCCTTCGTACATGTTTCATCTGTTGTGTAACAGAGTTAAAGTAGTAGTGATTATATTACTTTTCAAATAAACATACAAAATGCAAGTTATAACCAATTAGTGGAATATGTGCATGTAATGACTTGTTTACAATATACTATACAGTTACATGACTCAATATTGTGTCATTAAAATTTCAATACAGGAAAAAAATTTACAATAAATTATTAAATTTAAGATGTATCATTCTTTCAAAAAATTTCATATTTTTTGAGGTGATGCAAATTTTAAAAAATTAAGGGATTAAAGAAAGTAATTTCCAGGGAGGCACTTAGCAATTTTTTTTTTAAAAGGCAACAGTAGGCCAAATAAGTTTGGGAATCTCTGACCTAGAAGATCACTTTCTCACTAATGTTTTAGCTAATTGTGTAAGTGTATGGGAGAAGTCGATCTCGAATGACCTATCTGCTTGGTACTTTCATTTCTTTATGGCTAGCACATTTGAGTTCTCTCTCAAACTTAATACTTATTGCCCAGAGATACTGATGTAAAAACAAATTTATTCTCCTATGTACTGGCCCCTAATACTTTCATTCCTACTCAATTAGCCATAATGCCCTACCCCAAAAGCCAACACATACCTATTTTTCCCCGCTTGCTCTTTCCTTTATGTCCTTTGGCTCACCCATTCCATTATAAAACTCCTCTTTATGCTTAATCTCTTTCTTTTACATTCCTTCCATTTCCTTGCATTAACTAAAGTCTGGTTTTTCCAAGGACTTTAGATCTCTGGTATTCTTCTCTAAAGTTGGCAGCTCCATCTTTTACCTCTCCATTCCTCACCATAATTACTCCCAATGCAAATGCTAAATCTTTGCTCTTTAACCCTCACTCAAGTCATTCAACAATACACAATACAAGATTTAATGAAACTCTCTTCAGTAGAAATTTATTGTGGCTATACTATCCTTCTGATCTGCCACTCATTTATCCACCTTGGAGATCCTATTCCCTTTGTCTAAAACTCTGGCATCCGACTTACTCTTCATGTTGTCCCTTTCCCATGTTGTTTGTTTTTTTTTTTTTCAAAGACTCATTTATATGGTTTAGGACTGCTTCAATTACACACCTTCTCATTTTTTCATCCCGTTCTTTACTAATTCTAAACTTGCGTGTGATAAGCCAAAGACCTGACTGTACAGAGCTTAATCAGGAAAAATTCCTACATTGCTTATTCTTTTTCTATTACTATATATAATCTATTCCATTCTTTATAGTGTTATTTACTGACCACCATTTCTAGCACCTACCATTTCTTTTACTGAAGAAAGTCATGAGAGACTGAGGCATGAGTCTGCTGGGTGATATACAAATTTTGGGCCTCTTTCACTGCTTCTTCCTGAACCAGGATTTCCCATATTTTCTCCCTAAATTCAACTTTCCTCCCTTCGCATTAAAATCTCCATGTATCAGAGCATATGCTAATTTAATTTTCTTGTATATGTTACTTCAAACAATTAACAAGTATTTACTAAAGATAAGGCACTGTGCTAAGTGGTGGGGATAGAGACAAAACTGAAAATTACTGCCCTCTAGGGGCTTACATAGTGAGAGAAGACAATCAAGCAAGGTTTCATGAAGAAAGTGGTACTTGAACTGATTCTTGAAGGAAAATGTTTTCTAAGTGGTGGAGGTGGAGAGAAACTATTCCACACATGGGGGATAAGGCAATGCAAATGCATGAGAGGTGGAGCGTCATGTGAGAGCAACAGCAAAAAGGCCCGTTTGGATGAAACATGGGGTGTATATAAAGAGAAACATAAGACTGTGAAGTTGGGTTGGGGTCACGTTGTGATGGTCTTTAAGTATCAATCAGAGAAGTTTATATTTGATCTTAAGAGTTTATATGCTTTTTCCTGAGAGAAAATGGAAGTTATGGGCAGAGACTATTTGATATTTGTCTTTGTAACCACAAGGCCTCTTGAAATTCCTGACATAAGTAGGCCCTCAATAAATGATTGTTCTTTGATATAAACTTGCAACAAAAGTAATTCATAACAAAACAAGGGGGGGAAATTGAGAAAGGTACAAAAATAATTTGGGTGGGTACGGCCAATAAACCACTTTTCTCAACTAAATCACCAAGTCTAATACTGTTTGAATCAACTGACTTCTAAATTTGTCTATGTATATTCCATTTTTAAACCACTATCTTTTAAGTATCCTCAAATGGTACTGGTTAAGGAAAACTGATTTCTTAATGATTTGATTGTCTTGTAAAAGCATATGTACAGTAATAACTACATATAAGAAATAATGAGGTATAGGGTAAAAAGTTGAAATATGGAGTCAAGAAACCCGAGTTCAAATCTGGGATATGATAATTACCAGCTTGTGACTAATAACCCCTCTGAGCCTGCATAAAAATTGAATAATTACATGCACCACCTCACAGGGTTTTCCTAAAGAAAGGGTTTTGTTAACTTTAAAGAGCTATGTATCTGTGAATCATTATTCTTAAATATTAAGGAATATTCATTAGTTGTAGTACTAAATAGATTAGATCACAGACTTATGTTTTTTGAGAGAGTAGAATAGTTTCAGATTTAAGACAGTGGTCTCTGATGAAATTTTTGATAGTAAAATATCTTAACAGAAAGACAGTTCTATGAGATCTGACTGTGACTACTGCTTACTATAGTTTTTCCAATGGAGCCACATTTCTAGGATAAGGTCATTTCTTCAAGAAAATCTATTTGTGTTTGTCTCTGAGGCCACCTTGGAGAAAAGGAAACTGAGGTACAATGAAGAGAACACTGGATGTAGACTTTGAAGACCCAGCCACTTAACCTTGAGTAAGTCACTGTCTTTAAGCTCTTTTAACTTCAGTTTCTTCATCTATAAAACTGGAGAGGGACAGTAAGACATGAACTACCTTTAAGACTTTGGTCATGTCACCAAACATTCCTGTGCCTCACTTTTGCCATTTGTAAAATAAGTCATTTGGTTGGAACAAATAATGATAATGGCCTCCCTGACAAGATGCCCTGAGACACCCTCTAGGCCTACAACTACAATAATATGTCATAAGGACATTGTGGATAAATTAGAAAAACTAAAATACTATGTAAATGCCTGCCATTTTGAAAATCAATTTGAGATCATTCTGGTCATTAAGTTTAAACAAATACCCATCACATTATCTTCACTCTTTCACAGTTCTGAAAAAAATTCAAAAGTAAACTTTTTTTAAAGGTAGGAGTCATGAATATATTAAGTGCATATGATTGGTCTAACTTTTCAGAGAAAATAGGATCAAATCATATATTTTAAATGCTCTGCAAAAGCTTAAGACACTATATAAATGTTCAACATTATTATTTTTACAGAGACATAAAATTGTGGACCCATAAGGAACTTCCTAAATTATTTAATCTAATCCCCTCATTTTCAAACTGGGGTCCAGAGAGGTTGTCAGTCAATCAATATATATTTATTAAGCACCAACTATGTGCCAGGCATTGTGCTGAGGATACAAAAAGAAGCAAAAGATCATCCTTGCCCTCAAGCTCACAATCTAAGGAGGAAGACAACAAGCAAGCAAAAATGTACAAACAAGATATATACAGGCTAAATAGGAAATAATTATAAGAGGGAAAGTACTAAAATTAAGAGGATTGAGAAAGGTTTCCTGTTGAAGATAGGATTTTACTTGAGAAACCACAGAACATACTTGGGAAAGCACATAGGCAGTAATGAAGGAGAGCAGTCTAGCATTGAGGTCAGCCAGAGAAAATGTCCAGCCCAGAGAGATGGGAACGTCTGGGAGAAAACTGGGAGAAAGGTGTTCTTTAGTTAGACTAAAAACTGGGAAGCCTGGAAGTACTAGGTTATAAAGGGCTTTGACTGCCAAACAGGGCTTTACATTTGACTCCACAGGTATAAGGAGCCACTGGAGTTTGTTGACTGGTGGTACAGGAAGAGGGAGATGGATGGGGTGACACACTAGATCTGTGATTTAAGAAAACCCCTTTGGTGGCTGTATTAGTTTCATGGTGTGTTGTGGGGTCGTCTCAAAGAACTGAGACTCAGTTCACCTTCAATCCAAGCAAAGGCATTTATTGAGGGTGATGCTCTCCAGTGGGCTGGGTTCCAAGAGGAACCAGCAACTTAGTAAGACAAGACAGGCAATTTTATAATGTAATGATGCTGATTATACAACAGAAATTATGAATATTAAAAAGGCAGGAGGGAGTTTGTCAAGGGATTAAGTAATGGTGAAGGAGTTTGTTTAGGGATTAGGTAATGGGGGGGTCCCCAGCCTCACAACTACACACGCAATTACCCACAATGCATACAGAAAAACTCATGGGTGGGGGCACTGACATACGATATATGATAATGATACCTACATAATAAATTCATCTACAGGACAGCTTTTGCTATTATTATGCAGGTGCCTACTTAAGGAATGTCCCTTCTATTATTTTGGGGTACACATCCTGTTCAGGAATCCTAGTGGTGCTGCTTTCTAATTGGCTGGCAATTGTGGTCCTGAGATTAGATGGATATGGTTTTGACTGAGTACATGGACACACCGGCTGTTTTTGTGGGAAATATGAAATATGGGTCTGCAGGCAGTGGCTAACTAGAAGCAGTGGCTGGGATCCCATCACATGAACACACCTGTTGTTCTAGTGGGAAATGAGTTCATGGACACACTTGCTACTCTAGTGAAGCTGTGAGGCCTATAAAGAAGTTAGAATATTGGGGCTGGTAGCAGGCTTTATTAAGATTCCATCAGCTGTATGGAGAACAGAACAGAGTAGGGAGAGACTTGAGGCAGGCAGACCCACCAGCAGACTACCGCAATAATAACCCAAGCTTGTGTTGATTAGGTTGTGACTTGCCCAAGGTCACACAACCATGTGGGCAGCAGAGGGAGAACTAGAACTCAGGTCTCCTAAATTTCCCTCTAATTTTCTTTCCCTTACATCGCACTTTTACCTCGGAATTTTACCCAGGAATTTGGAAATTCCTACTAAGGGGAATAACTTCAGTAAAGTGGTCTAACAAGAGTTCTAAAATACTCTAAGAACTCTAGGGAGGGAGACAGGGAGAAAAAGAAAACTTTTCAAAAGAGGCCCTTCAAATTGAGGTCCAGAGAGGTTGTGACTTGCCTAAAGTCACACAAGTACTGACACAGTGGTGTGTTGGAGCCAACTCAAACCAGCTAAAGTTTGCTAAATTTTCAAGGTGAGCGTGTAGGCAGAGTACAAATCAGGGCTTGGTTTTGTTTTGTTTTCTTATCTACTGTTTAGTTTCTTATCTAGACTTAAGGAAAAATATTAATAATGCAGATTAAATTTAAAAACCCGTCGTGGGAATTTTTTATCGTTGTTGTTGAGCCAGTTAAACACTCCTTGGATGGCAGAAATGGGACTAGATTCTAAGTCTCCTGAATTTTAGCTCATCAAATTTATTATCAATTGTTAAATGATAATAGGATGAGTAACTTCAGATACGTGGCCTTTTAAAAAGAATAAAATAGAGTTCTGGAGTCAACTGCACCATGACATAAGAACAGCATACCGGTGGGGAGGTTTGGACGGGAAAGGAGGTGAAAGAAAATGAAAACTTTGTTTTTTGGAAGTCATTAAAAAAAAGTTTCTTAATTCACGCTTAACTGGTACATCAACGTTTCCTTATTTCACGACGGGTGGAAAAAAAAATTTGAGGGTAGAGGAAGGGGAGGAGTGGAGGGGAGGGCGACGCTGAGCAACTGTAAATTCGGGCCAAGCTTCCAAAGCATCTCCCGTTGGCGTTCAATGCCTCTTTCCTGGGAAGAGACAACTCTCGGCGTCACCCTCAGGAGGAGACAGAGCAGCCGGTTCAAGTCCACATAGACACTAGAACCGAAACGCCCAAGACACGCCCCGAATACAGGGGAGTCTGGGGCGGGGGTGCGGGGGGGAAAAGAACGGGCACCAGAGGAGGAGGCACCCTTCCTTCCCTTCCCTTTCCCCTTCCCCTCCCCCTCCCCCTCCCCCTCCCCTTTCCCTTCCCAGAGGCAAGAGGCCTCCGCACCTAATGAACACTCTTCCCTCCGTTATGGGCCCGACCCTATTTAGTGTAGTAAGAAGAGAGATGAAAGCTAAACGAACCCTTCCTCTTCGGGAGTCAACCGGGGAGGAAGCGCGTCCATCCTAATTCCCTGGGCTCCGGCCTCAGCTCCGTCTACTTATCTCTCAACCACAGGAAGTAAAGTGAGTATACTGAAGAAAAGGGGAGGAGTAAAAGTCAGTGAGGAAATACGTCATCACAGCCGTGCCAAACTCCGCCTCCTCCCCGCCCACAAATATACAGCACGCTTTGTTTTGAATAAACAAACTTTATTCAACCTCTCTTTATAGAGCAGTCAGACGCCAGGAAGGCGCAGGTCCCAACCGGAGACCGCGGAGGGGGCGGGAGGGAGTGAGAAGTAAGCGGAAAAGATGTCGTGTGAGCAGTACTCCCGATACGGCAGTGCGCTCATGTGCCGGCTTGAAGGCTAGCGGGCTGAGCCAGGAGATAGGATGGGTCGGGTCTCTTTTGGGGGTTGGAGATTCCAGGATAACCTTGGCTTTGCAGAGGAGGGAAGTTTGTAGCCGTCTTCTCTCGCTTTAGTCGAGGTCTGTGACAGCCGAGCCCCGGCCTGCCCCTCCCTTCTCCTGGGCGGGAGGAGTCTTTGCCCCGACCTCCGGTGGGGGTGGCGGCCTCTCTCTCCCCGCCTCCTGGTTCACGTTGCTTCCCCCTCCTCTGCTTACCTGCTTCACTCTGCAGATGGTCGAATGCTTCTACTGAGCCTTAAGTCCCAGGGGATAAAAAAGATAAAACAGATCTCTTCCCAGATCTGGCAGATCTGCTTGGGGAGGTAAGAGATAGGGTCTTGAGGAAGAACTGGAAGGTCATCTAGTCCAAACAAACCATCCTTCAGGTGGAACTGAGGTTCTGAGAAGTTAAGTGACTTGGCCAGGGGCATCCAGTAAATGGAAGAGCTGGGATTCAAGCTTGTGTTGTGGGACCATCACCTTAGAGTGTTGGTATTTAGTTGTGTTTGAATCGTGTCGACTCTTCTTGATCCCATTTGGGTTTTCTTGGCAGAGATACTGGAGTGGTTTGCCCTTTCCTTCTCCAGTTCATCTTAGAGGTGAGGAAACTGAGGCAGAGGTGAAGTGACTTGCCCAGGAATACAATGTTAGTGTCTGAGGCCAGATTTGCACTCAGAAAGATGAGTCTTCCTGACTCCAGATCCTGTACTTCTCCACCTAGCTGCCCTCTCACCTTAGAGTAGGAGTATCTTTTTTATTTAAATTCAGCTAGGTGTCCAATTGGATAGATCCCTGGACCCAGAGTTCAAAGCTAGTCTCAGATACTTATTAAATGTGTGACCCTGAGCAAGTCACTTAACTTCTCTCTGCCTCAGTTTCCTCATCTGTAAAATGGGGATAACAATAGCACCTATTTCTGAAGGTTGTTGTGAGGATAAAATGAGATAATATTTGCAAAGTATTTTGCAAAACTTACAGCACTATATAAATGCAAGCGGTTATGTAAGGGACCTCTCTGGCAGCTTAGTGAAGCCTTCAGACCCATTCTCAGAATATTTTTTAAAAATTCATAATTGAAAGAAATGCTCAGTTTCATTTACAGGTTAGTGAAAATGAAGAAGCTCACAAGCCTCTTGACAGCTGTCCATGGACCCACCAACAGTAAAGAACCCCTGCCTTAGAGGTCATCTAACCTGACACCCTCATTTAGAAATAGGGACACTTAAGACCCAGAGAGGCTAAGGAACTAGGCCAAAGTTTGGAAGGTTAAGTAAGTAGCAGAACACGGATTTGAACTCAAAGGTCCTCATTCCAGTTTCTGTGCTCTTTTTATGGTGCCCAATCCATCATTCTTTCCACTGTGAAGAAATAGTTATAATACAAGAAAGTCTGAGTACAAGTGATATCACCTTAAAGAATGAAGTTTAATAACATCCTGTGTAAAAAGACTTGCCTGGTGCTCTAGCCATTTTTAGCTTTTGAGGCCCTTAGCTCTAATAACATAAAAATAAAAATCATGAACACAAAGCATCAAAAAAGAACTGTTTTAACAAATAATGTTCTAGAATATTTCCCTTAGCAAGTGCATTAATTTTTCAGCTCTGCAAACATTAAGTTTATATGAAAGGTCCTCTAGGAAGAAAGAAACAAACAATCCTTGCCCTCAAGGAACTTCTTTTTCTACTGAGGGATAGGTTGTAACATGTATAGATAAGTAAATTCCAGATGGTTGAGGGGGAAGGGCAAGAAGAAAGAATCATTGTAGAAAGTGGCACCAGAGCTGAAATTGAAAGAAGCTAAGATTCTAAGAGGTAGAGGTGAGAAAGGGAGTCACTCTCAACATAAGCAGACAGCCTGGGCAAATGCACAGAAAGGATAGATGGAAAGTTGAGTCTAGGGAATAGCTCTTCTAGAATACTGAAGCATACACTGAATGAAAGTGTGTGATATGAAATTATATCTGGAAAGGTAGGTAAGAGCTAGACCATGGAAGGCTTTTAAATGTCACCATGAAAAATGTAGGTTTTTCTTAATCCTAGAGGGAGAAATAGCCACTGAAGTTTTCTGGCTGCTGACAGGGTAAGATCTGTGTTTTAAAGATAATAACTTGGCAGCTGTGTAGAGAATAGATTGGAGAGGTGTTGCAGTTTCAAGGTGTGTTTTGTGGTGGTCTCTAAAGAATTCACAGACTCAGATCATCTACAACCCAAAGCAAAGGCATTTATTGAGAATTATTCTTGGCAGCAAACTATGCGATTACACCATTGCAGAATATATGATATTAAAATATAGGAGGAATTTGTTAATTTGGAAAGGAGTCTAGCCTTGGTGGAACTGTGCATATGACTACCCATAATGCATAAAGAAAAGCCCATGGTGGGGGAGGTATGGTAATGATATTATAATAAGCCTCTCTACATCATAGGTTCACCTAAGGACAGTTCTTTGCTGTTACTCTGTAGGAGCCTACTTAGGAAAAGCCTCTTCTATGATTTAGTGGTCAAATATCCTGCTTAGTATCCTGTTGGTGCTGCTTTCTGATTGGCTGGATATTGCAGTCCTGTCTGAGACTATATGGATGGTGTAATTGAGACCATAGTGAGGCATATGAGGAAGTTGAGATATTGGATCTGGGGCAGTGGCTAAATAGAGGCAGTGGTTAGAATTCTGTCAGAGGGAAGACAGGAGCACGTTTCAGTAATCTATTTGATAAGTGGTGAGGGAGGACCTCAGTTAGGGTAGTGGTATGTGAGCACAGGGAACAGGATAAAGGTTTTGTAGACATGAAATCAACAAGGCTTGCCAACTAATTGGATGTGGGGAGGAGGAGGGGTGTGAGAGAAAGAAAAGAGTCAAGGATAAATTCAGGTTTCAGACTTGAGTGATTGGAAGGGTAATGTTGCCATCACAGAAATAACCAAATTTGGAAAGGTGTGGGTTTAAGGAAGGAAGATAATGAGTTAGCTTTAGACATATGATCATAGATTTAGAATCGAAAGGAACCTCAGAAACCATTTACTCCATCCTGTAGTTGTACGGTAGGGAAATTCAATCCAAGAGAGTGTAAGTGACTTACCAGAGGTCACTTGGGAATTAAAAAGGAGAGCCAAAATTCACACTCAGGTCTCTAAACTTTAGCACACTTTCTACTATACTGTGTAGGTGGAGATGTCAGTGGGATATCATGTGAAAAGTCCATCAGGCAGCTGGAGAGATTCAAGACTGGAATTCAAAACTGAGAGAGTAGGATCACAGAATTTGAAGCGATGAGACGACTGAGCCTTAAGACTACTGATGTAATGGACAGTAGGAATGGGTTACTAAGATGGGAATTCTGCCATCATCCTCTATAAAGCATGCTCACCAAAGGGAACTGCCCCCAGTAACTCCTGGAAATGCATCGGTCAGTCTCTCTCCCTATTCGTAGTTTGCTATTATAAGCCCCATAGTAAATACCCTTGGTGAAGTCTGTCATATCAGTTAGTGATTCATTGAAGAGACTGTATCTCTCAAAAGAACCAAAGGGAGGGAATGAGAGAAAATATTATTTTGTTCTTATATTGACAGCCAATTCTTAAATGAAGATCAAGATTTTTTTCCTCATTTAGGGCCCAGCCTCTATAGGTCAGTCAGTCAGGCAGTCTCTGGAGGACATAGCTGATTCGTGAGATTACCCCTAACCCTCCGGAAACATGCTTCTCATTCTTGGCCCAGACACCACCCAACTGGGATACAGGGGAGTATAAACAGAATCCAGTCTGGGCAAGTTCTTGCCCCCAAGGAGAAGAGCCCTATCCTTGTAAATCTACATTAGAATTTAGGGTGAACCAGCTCATGCAGGAGAAAACCAACCAGAGTGGTCTGGGTGGAAATGGATTCCTTTGTTCAGATTGCTGAGTCTCAGGATCAAACCATGCTCTCAGCAAGAGGAACCAAAGACTCTTAGTCTACCTCCTCATTAAATGAATGTCCTTCAGTCAGGGTTGGGTTCTCCTGTTAGAGGCCTCCTCTTTTACAAAGGTATTTAAAGCATTCGGTGTCTCCATTAAGGAGGTCTTGGTTACCAGTAGAAACCAATGACCATCAATTTACTGATTATTAGCTAACAGAATTATTAATCACCCAGAAACTTTGTGTCAGGTTTTTCATTCATCTTATGTGGTTGTAGATATGGCCATATATGTACACCCTGCATGACCTTGCATAACATCAGGCATCTTTCATAATAGCTTCTTAGTACATTGCAAACAAAGCTAACCTTATCATTTTAAAATTCAACTAACTTCCAGCCATTTACCAAAGAGAGAAATTGTGAGAGGCATCAGGTTAGTGTATAGTGGAAATATGCTCCATGTTCGAGAGTACAGTTATCCCTTCCACATTGCAACTTTCCTCATCGAAGTTCAGTATATCTCGAGTTGGCATAAGAAATTAAATGGGAATTTTGGGAAAGTTTTATGAAAGCTGCAGACAACACATGAAAGCCAGCAGATGGCACAGAAAAAATTTAGAAATTAAGAAATGAGTAAAATATATGCATAGCATTATATAATTTCAACATATTTTATCTTTTAATACCATAATAATTCAGATTTCTTCTCTGGTCCAAAGGGAGGGCCAAAACATTTTATGTGGATTTCCAGATTGGGGTGAGGGGAGTGCTTTGCCCCAAACCACCCTCCAAGTAGAAGAGATAACTATGGATGGCTCTGAAGGATCAATCTGGCCTGATCACCATGGTTTTCTACATACTTAACAGTTGACAAATTTATTTTGCTGGTTTTCCTCCCCCACATCAGGACAAGACTGCAGTTAATATCTATTCAGGAGATCAGTTTGTAGTGCCAGTTAAGTCTCTTACTGAGGCAGCCAATCATGGCCCTTTAAGAATACATTCTTCTTAGGGGCAGCTAGGTGGCACAGTGAATAGAGCACCGGCCCTGGATTCAGGACAACCTGAGTTCAAATCTGACCTCAGACACATAACACTTACTAGCTGTGTGACCCTGGGCAAGTCACTTAACCCCATTGCCTAGCCAAAAAAAAAAAAAGAATACATTCTTCTTCCACATGACAACTAGATGTTGCATTGGATAAAGCTCTGGACCTAGATACAGGAAGACCTGAGTTGAAATCTAGCCCCAGAGACTTATTGGCTGTGTGACCCTAGGCAAAGCGTTTAATTTCTGTTTCCTCAACTGTGAAATGGGGATGATAACAGCACCCACTTTGCAAAGTTGTTGTATCAAATGGGATAATATTTGTAAAGCACTTAGCACACTGCCTGCCATGTGGTAGGCCCCATAGAAATGCTTATTCCCTCTCTCCCTGTGGGCTTCCTTCTGCCATTGCCTCTGCTCAGGATACCATTTTACTATGAATGAGCACATTGCCTTCACATTTGCCGTGTTTCTCATCTTCCATACCATCTCCAGGCAGCTGGTATCATGCATGGAACAACCAGATTACTTCTAAAACAACAGCTTTTCATCACAACACCCCAGATTATTGGAGTTGACTGTGCTATCTTGCAGAGGCTTTGGCTTTAATAAATCAGTACTACTCCCAAGAAAGGGGAAGGGACCTCCGTTGCAGCAGTTTCTTGGATCTAGTTTTCAGGAGAGCTTACTTGAACAAGACCACTGTTGGGTATAGTCCTACTTGACTCCTTTTAGCTCTTCTTTATTACATCTTCTGTTTTGACTGATGTTCAGGGAACACTGAAGTACAAGTATGACAGTACAAAGTGAATCCTGGTGTCACTTTAGATCCCAGGAGAAGTCAAATGCAAGATGATACAGATCTATTGTAGGGACCAGAGACAGCCTGATAGGGGTCATCACCTGATCTGTTGACCTGGATGTTTCTGTTCATCACAGGTGTTTTATCTGTAGAGGACATCACTCCCCCCATTGTTGTGAGATTTATTATACTTTGCTTTGTGCTGCTGTAGTGCTACTTAATCTGGGGTAGTTTTAAGAATATTTTAGAGGTGGAAGTTCACCCAGGAAATTTTAGGGACCCCACCACCAGGGGGCAAGATGAGGTAAGAGGTGGTACCTATTTGGTATTGTGGGAAGGGTATCATCTCTTCCTAGGTTGCTCTTTTAAAGGTGCATTGAGGCCATTTTCCTTCCTCATCCTCTGCGATATGAGTCCCAGCCCATAAAAAGGTGAAGTAGATGCTTCACCTTCCTTTCTAGCTGCCCTTTAGGCAAAAGCTTTCCAAGAATTGTTTGCAATGTTGATTGTTTAGGGGTGTCCAAGTAATGTCCTTTTGTCCTTTCTGATTGATATTTCTAATTTGTACTTTTTAAAAGCTGGTTTTAATCATGTTCTATGGTCCAAAAATCTTTTATTGTATTTTGAACCTAGAACCTAATTGAGGCTTGGCCTAAAATCTTCAGTGAAGATAGAATATAAACTTTTTGAGGGCAGGATCTGTTGGGCAAGTCATTTAATCCTGTTTGCCTCAGTTTCCTCATCTGTAAAATAAGCTGGAAAGGAAATGCAAATCATACCAGGATCTTTGACAAGAAAACTCCAAATGGGGTCACAATGTGTTGGACATTAAAAAAATAACTGAAAACCCTCAATTCCTATCACAGTTTCTGGTACGTAGTTGGTATTTAATAAATGTTTGTTGCTTGCTTGAACACTTAAAAGTAACACATTTGAGCTCACAGATGTATCTTTTAGATTCCACTTAAGTGCTCTGTTATGCCTTCAGAATTTTACTTATCTCAAAAAAGAACATTTCCATTGGAGCTTGGTTACGCTATATGTATCTTGTATGTCCCTAGACAGTTGTCTCCCCCACTAGAATATGAACTTCTAGAGGGCAGGCAGAGGGTTTTTGCTTTTGTTAATAAATGCTTGTTGACTGTTAAATGTTAAACTCCGAAATTTTGTCTTATTTCGTTTTGAGTGCAGTGATACAAGTTAAACTACTCCAAGGCCTAGCCAAATCTCCCTGCATTTTAGCAAAAATATGCCAGTGCCAAAGTCTCCCTAAAGATCTTCGTCCAACACTAAAACCCGTAAAGGAATTTGAAAAGACAACATGCAAGACGCTGATAGTAAATCAAAACTTGGGTTTATGCTGTTCTGCAACAGTAGCTGGTGGCTTGAAGTGTTTGTTTCCTGGACACATCAACTGGAATGTGTCAGCTGCAAACATAATATCTCAGTTGAAGACTGTGTTCTGCAGAGGTGAAAAAATGAATGTTCCATCCCTGAAATCTTTCAGTACTTCCAGAAAAATGAGTCACAAACTAAGCCTATTGTATACTGAGTGGCCTATGAAAGTAGTAGAGAGGCAATATTCTTCTATACCAACCGGAAAACTAGAAGTTCAACAAATCAAGAGACCTCTAAAAGCATCTAGGACCAAACAGCCATCCAGGGTTAACCTTCCACTTTCTTCTGCGAATGAGGTAAAGTTCATATTGTTGCTGAATTCTCTGTTTAATAATAATCATGCATTCTAGATAGCTGTTCATGTAACACTGTATCTATATGCTAGTATTCAAGATTCAGCAAGTTAAACTGACTTAATTGGTTTTCATTGTTAATCGTTCATCGTTTGACATGCCTAAAGGAAATAAATTCATAATGTTTTAATTGTTGTTAATAATAGAGGTAAGAACACAATGTTAGTATACATGGATAAATAATTTCTTAGATATTGGCCATGGAACACGTCAGGGCTTGAAACATACTGATAGAACTCTTAATTGATGGCTCTAAGGCCCTTTCCAGCTCTAAATCTATAATTTTTAAAGTCTGTGATCTTGGTGTAGGTGTATTCCATGTCTCCAGAGATATAAAGGGCAGAGTTCAAAGAAATTCTGAAACAACAGAAGGGAAATGAAGACCATTTACCCACTAACACAGTGTTACATGTAATATTTTTGATACTTATATAACTTCATATTTAATATTTTGGATAGAAAAAAATTTATTAATATCAAAATGTTCTCACAAAACCCACTTTGGTCAGGTAGAACATCAGGATTTTGTGGAACACAGTTTGAGGAAATTACATCATTAGACAATATCCTTTAAAAGAGAATATTGGTATTTGTGTGACAAAATCTAGTCTGCCGGCAGGTTTATGGAAACAACTCATCTGATTTTAGTTTAACTGTCAAAATGTATATTTTGTATTTTAGCATTATCCATGCATATAGATAATTGCTCCCTTATCTGTATGAAATAGGGGGAAAATATGGCAATATAAGGTGGGAAAATAATAGGAAGACCGTTCATTTATTGAATTTTGATTTTTCAGGTTTTTAATTTCAGTTTGGTTTTCTTGGAGGCCAGTGAGTGATTCTTAGATTCTCCGTAAACACTGTAATCCAGGTCAGTTGGTTCATTATTGAATATGTTTCAAGTATTACAATTTTGCTGTACTTTTTAATATAACTTGTTGTGTCACTAAATTATTGAGCTCTTTTTCCATGCATTTTCCCCCCCAGCATATCTGCTGTTTGCTGTGGTTTTCCAGGTTCTCTGCTCTCCTTTGGAATTTTTTATTAAGATCTCTATTTTAATTCTTTATCCTTTCAGTTCTTAGGCCTTCCAGTCCTAGGGGGTTCCTGGAGCCATTCCATTTTCTTTCTAGGGTTATAGAAGTAGTTATTATTAAATTATTCTTTTATGCTGGGTTTTATTCTGAGATAAACACCACAGAATCAAGCTGTTTGTTGTTTTAATAACAAGTGACTCAAGTAGTCAGAGGAAAAATTTATACCCAGTTATTGATTGCAGAGTTCTGTATTAATAAAATGTACAGTTGCATAGTGCTTTACAGCTTATAGACCAAGGCCTCATACATTTAATATTTGATCTTCATAGATTTGTGAGGTCTGTGGGACAGGCCATGTCTTCATTTTACATGTAAGAAAACAGGCTGAGAGAGGTCGTGACTTAGGGCTGCTAGGTAAAAAAGTTTAGATTTGCCCTCCAGCCCTTACAACACCATGATCAATGTTCTTTTATTACCTCACACTAATGATATATAATTCTATGTATAATCTTTCCCAACTACCAGTCCACATATTTTTACTGGTCTGCAAAATTTTGACCACTATTGCCCCTTCTTAAAGGTAACTCACCTTTATAAAGCAAACCTCTGCTCAACAAATCAAGTCAAACCAGCATTAAGGACCTGCTATTTGTCACTTTGCTAGTCAGACAGTCAATAAACTTTTATTAAGCACCCACTCTGTGCCAGGAATTGTGGATAGGGGTTGGGAGGGTAGGGGTGGGAGTGGGAAGGGGTTAGAAAGAGGGGAAAGTAAAAGAAAAATCTGAAGTTTTGAGCCTGGAGTGATAGGTAAGGTGCTAGTGTCATTAATAGAAATAGAAAATTTAGTAGAAATCAAATTAACAAGCATTTATTAAATACCTGCTATGTACCAGATATTGTGCTAAGTGCTGAAGATAGAAAGAAAAGTAAAAACACTTCTGGTCTCATGAGCCCATAATCTAATAGGGGAGACGACATGCAAAGAGCAGCATACAAACATGCAAACAAGGATGTCTGAACAAGATATATACAGGATAAATTGGTGATAATCATAGAGGGAGGTTTGGGGCAGAGGGAGGTGGAAAGAGAAGGATGAAGTTTAATGATAGGCAGTTGGAGAGATATAAGATCAGATTCCTTTTCTCATATTCTTATACCTCCTTATATCACAACTCTGGCATTGCCAGACCAGATTTACTTAAAGCTTAGGTTTAGTTCATATATAAGATCTCTTCAGAGGTGGGGGGCAATAGAAAAGGTAAAGTGAGGAAGGTGTAGGCATTCTAATAGTTCAGAAACCCATTATAAGTCTGCAGTGTGACAGACACCCATGCTCCTCATTCATGATAAAAACTCGTGGATCTATGAATTGAACTGCAGGCTTACTCTGCTTACCATTATTAATTTGGTTCTTTGAAGCATGGTGATACAGAATTGTTGGTGCAGTGAGTCTGTATACATATCCCTGAGGGAAAGACTGTTCACAGAAAAGGGTGTGGGGGGAGACTCTGTCAATTGTTTATATAATATTCTAAGTCCTTCATGACCATTCTTCATTTTATGTGGGATGAAACACAGGCTTTCTTGTACCTGGAAAGAAAGTAAAGGAAAAAACCCACAATGTTAGATAAAGTATCACAGGAAAAGTTAGTGCCACAGGAAGTGTTAAAAAGAGATAATGGGCCAAGCAATCTTTCTACAAGATTTTGCTGTGCTATGGTGGCTTTTGTGTATTTTGTAGTAACAAGATTATTATGAAAGTGGTCTGTCAGTAAACATTGAGCCTACTATTTGCCATGTACTGTACTGGGAATTTAAAAAAAAAAAAGGTAAAAGACAGCCCCTGCTCTTGTGCTAGTGAGGAGCTCACAATCTAATGGAAGAAATAACATGCTAATAACTATGTACAAACAAATTCTATATATAGGGTCATTGGAAATAATCAACAGAAGGAAGACATTAGAATTCAGGGGAATTCGGAAAGACTTCCTGTTGAAAGTGGGATTTTAACTAGGACTTCATGGAAACCAGGGGGTGGAGAAGAGGAGGCAGAGAACGCTATGCTGGGTATGTCTTATCATCCTTTTTAACCTAATAGGATTCTCTAATTTCAGAATACCATAAAATGGTAGGAAAAAATAGAGTTTAGTAAGTAGTAAGATTGCAAATGAAATAAATAGCATCAAAATAAAATGTTTGAAAACTTTCAGTGATGTATTGCAGAAAATAAAGGAAAAGCTCTGGTGATGTTTTTATAATGGGGGAACGAAGTACATGCCACTCTATTTTCTCCAACAATAGAACATTGCTACTTCGAGTTTTATGTTTTCATTTAGGTAATGCTTCTATTATACAAAAAATCCTGTAAACTTACAAAGTTTATTGCAACACTTTCCTTTTTCCTTAGCTGTCTAGCACCACCTACTGGAACATGTTTTCTGTAGCCAAAAATTCTTGTGGAATTTGCCTTTTGCAGAAAATATTGCTGATAGACCTTGTTTGACTTATCCAATACCATTCCTTAATGAGTTTGGCACATCCATTTTGCATCAAGATAGTGATATATAATAGTCATCCTTATATCTAATCTCTGCTTTTAGTTTCTAACAAAAGTCAACCACCATGAAAATTTACAGTAAAAGCTTACATGAAATTGTAGAGAATTTATAAATTTAATGCCACACAAAGAGAAAAAAGCTCAAAGATAAGGATCCTACAGAGATGTTATGTTTCTTGGAGGCAACTGGGGTTAAGTGGACTTGCCCAGGGTCACATAGCAACTAAGTATCTGAGGTCCAGTTTGAACTCAGATCCTCCTGACTCTAGGGCCAGTGCTCTATGAACTGCATTAGTTAGCTCCTCCAAGTTTTTTTTTATTACTTTTTATTGATATTTTGTAATACTTGCATTTCCTAATTTATCCCTCCCTTTTCTCCCAAAGAGAGAGCCTTTATAATAAAAACGAGGGGAAAAAATTTCAGCAACACTAGCCAATATTGAAAAAATCTGCTATTATCTGTAGCATTCTATACCCATATCCACCACCCTATTCCCTTTGCACCCCAAAAAAAGAAAAGAGGGAAGTGCCTTTGCATGAGATAAGGCATTCTTAAACCTAACTTAAGCATTATCTGGGAAACCTTATCTGGTGAGATAATACCATCACCACTCAAGTAAGTCCTGAGGCAGAGCTGGCCTGGCTGGGAGTGAGTACCCCAACATTCTTCACCTTTATATAACTTTCCCTTAACTGTCAGATAGGATCAGGGACTGGATATCTGCCCTGTTGCTGTGTGCTTGCTTCACACACACACACACCCCACCCTCTTTCTTTTTTTATTAATTAATTAATTTTTAGTTTTTAACAATCCTTGCATAAACTTTTATTTATGTATTTATTTATTTATTTAAGTGTTTGTTTTTCTATGAAGCAATTGGGGTCAAAGGGACTTGCCCACAGTCACACATCTAATGAGTGTTATGTGTCTGAGGCCAGATTTGAACTCAGGTCCTCCTGACTCCATGGCTGATACTCTATCCACTGTACTACCTAGGTGCCTCCATAAGCTTTTGAGTTTTGAATTTTCTCCCCCTTCCTCCCTACCTCCCTTCCCAAGACAGTGTGCAATCTGATATGGGCTCTACATATACATTCCTATTAAACGTATTTTCACATTAGTCATGTTGTAAAGAAGAATTGGAACCAATAGGAGGAACCACAAGAAAGAAGAAACAAAACAAAACAGAAGAAAAGAAAAGAGCAAATAGTATACTTCGATCTGCATTCAAACTCCATAGTTCTTTCTCTGGATGTGGATAGCATTTTCCATCATGAGTCTTTTGTAGTTGTCTTAGATCCTTGCATTGCTGAGAAGAGCTAAATCTATCAAAGTCAGTCATCACACAATGTGGCTGTTACTGTGTACAACGTTCTCCTGGTTCTGCTTACTTCACTCAGCATCAGACCATACAAGTCTTTCCAGGTTTTTCTGAAGTCCACTTGCTCATCATTTCTTATAGCACAATAGTATTCCATTACATTCATATGCCACAGCTTGTTTAGCCATTCCCCAATTGATGAGCATCCCCTCAATTTCCAATTCTTTGCAAGAGCTACTATAAATATTTTTGTACATGTGGGTCCTTTTCCCATTTGTATGATCTCTTTGCCCAACCCTCTTTCTTTGGATTGAAAATCAAATCAACATCACTTCATTCCTCATTGAAAGTGCTGAAGTCAAATCTGCAAGCATTTATTAAATACCTGCTGTGTGCCAGGCACGGTGTTAAAACACTGAAGATACAAAGAAAGGCAGAAACCAGTAACTGTACTCAAGGAACTCACAGACTAATTTCATCTATGCTAATGAAATAAGTACAATCTAAAAAAGTGGTAAGTAGTAAATAAAAGTTATGTTGCAAAACAGTGTGTGTTCCATCACATTCTTTAGTAACCAAAAAGTAGAAATGCTTCCTTCCAACTCTAACATTCCCTAACACTATTAATTGTATACTCATGTGATTTTAAAAAGAAAAACAAGAAAAAATATTTTCCATTCTTTAAGCAAAAGAATGCCATTCTTGCCAGAATAGACAGAGGGTCAAATTTAAGGAGTCGAATTTGTTGCTTACTACTGGTTGGAGTAACTATCAGTACATATTTCTTTGCTCTTTGATCCCTACCATCTCCTCCCTTTTTCCATTGTGGTGAGGTTGCTGAGTTGTTAATATCTTCAGAACATTTCAAAACCCGTAGGAGCTACCTACTCATACTTTCCATGATAGGTCCCTTTGAGTTTTTATCGCGTAACCCATTTTCTCTTTATCTCCAACAGCTATAGTTCCTTCATGGTACTTTTTTTTGGGGGGGGTGCTTATGCTGGTCACAAGCACTGCAAGGTGAGACGACCAAATGTCCTGTGAAATATTTCTTGTTACCTTTGGGCACTTGATAAAAACCAACTCCTTAACTTGGTGCTCCAAGAAGAACCTTTGAGCTATCCATCATATGCAACTTTCTTATATTTTTTAGTTGTGGTTATAGTGAGAATGTTAATAGTGATGTGTGATCTTTCTGGTAGTTGAAAAAGGATCTCACATTGAGAGTACCAACAAATAAGTTAGTTCTTATGTTGTGGCCATTCATTCATTTCAGTCATGGCTGATTCTTTGTGACCCCCCACGGGGATTTTCTTGGCAAAAATACTGGAGTAGTCTGCCCTTTCCATCTCTAGCTAATTTTACAGATGAGGAAACTGAAGCAAACAGGGTGAAGTGACTTATCCAGGGTCACACAGCTAGTTAATTCTCAGGTCATATTTGAACTCACGTCTTCCTAACTCCAGGCCTGGCACTTTGTCCACTGTGCCACCTAGTTGCCCAAAGACAACTGTCAGGACTTTAAAGACTTCTTTACTCTCTCTGTTTCCTTATCCCTGCCTTAAAGCTTTGGCATTTTTTTAGGCCTGTTTGGTGTCACTGTATTTCTGGGCCCTAACATAATTTACTTTTATTTTACTTTTATTTTTCAAGCATCTTCATGACTGTGTGGCCAGTGAGAAAGGTGGCACAATGGCACTCTCATTTGTTAATTAATATGGATAAAATAGTGTGGCAGTTTTTTGACCCAGAGATCACACTGTTTGGTATATGCTCCATTGGAATCAAAGACAGGGAAATACTCACATTCAAAATGAATATTCATAGCAGCACTTTTTGTGGTAGAAAAGAACCTGAAACAAAGGAGATGCCCATTGATTGGGGATGGCTAAACAAATTATGGTGTATGAATATTAGAAATGTATACCATAAGGAAAGATGAATAAGAACAATTCAGAGAAGCGTGGAAAGATTTATATACTGATGCAGAATGAAGTAAGCAGAACCCATAAAACAATGTAAATGATGGCAGCAGCAATCTCACAACTGAATTCCGTGTAATTATAATGACCAAGCTTGGCCCTGGAAAAGAGGTGACAAGCTGCACTACACCCCTTTCTTTGCAGAGATGACAGACGGTGGGGAATAGTAGATGTAATGTTATAGTCACATGACATTGATTAATTTGTTAAACTGCTCTTTTTCTTTTTTTATTCTTTGTTGCTGAGGAAGGAGAATATTTTCAGAAATGTTAAGTTGTTATGAAAACAACGACAATGAAAATGTTTAAATAGTATAAAATATATAGAGAAACCTTGGAAAAAAAGCAAAAATAATATTTCAGTATGGGTAAAAAGTGGTATCTCTTTGAGGGGAATTAGATCTAGTTAATTAGATTTTTTAGTTATGTGAAGATTCTAATTATAAAAGTGCATTGTGATGAAAATAGGTTTTAAAAATTCCTTTAAATTTAATTTTCTTCATTTTGGCGAATTTAATCATCAGGAACAAGAAACTTTGAACTGTTACGTAGATTTTATTTTAAGAAACACACATGCTTCTTAACATACATCATTATAGGCAGACATCCTTATAGGCATTCTAAAAAAACTGGGTGATTTTTAAAACCCTTTGTCTGTCTGCTTTTCTAGCGCTTATGCTTATGATTATAGAACTGGAAAAAAAGCCACACAAAGACTTGGGTCATTTTTTAATTTTTCTTATTTTCATGGCTTTCCAAGATCCCAGAATTCATCACCTGATAGTCAACTTTATGATGTTGCATCTCTGTACTTAGCTAGGCTGGTCCTCAGACAGCAGCCTGTGCCTAGTGCTGTAACTTGCTGATTTTCCTATGTTTTTCCAGTGTGGTACAGCTTGCCCGTGCTTATGCTTTGCTAGTATGCAATAGAAAAGCCATAATGTGGAGTGAAAATTATTGTTACATCTTGCCTACAAATATTTGGAAAAGCAGGTGTTAGTTAAGGTGTTGAGGAAGGGACTGGACATTTTTGTTGAGATTTTAAGTGGGATTACTAGTCACTTTTAAGAGGTAGTTGTAGCTGTCATTTCAGATTCAGCTAGAAGGTATAATGAATTTTTCAGAGAATGATTTTCAGATATATTAAGGGCATGTTTGATGAAAAGATGAGAAGGGAATAGGCAGTCTTCACAAACAATTTTATGCA